TTCTAAGAGCAGTTAACACAGTTCAACATCGCGAAAAGCATATTTACTCGAATCTTTTTGACTCGAGGAAAACCCACTCAGGTATTGGTTAATTTATGTTAAATTACTTCAGTTTTCAACACTCTAATTTAATAAAAAAATGCGTAAAATGTCTACACTTCTATGCTTATAATTCGCATGTAAATTAAGCAAATGAAAACACACTATATGCGCAACGTCTTTAGTATTTCTTATTCGTTACAAAAAATTATATCCGCACATGAGAAAAAAGGATACTTTTTGGGTTTCTCACGTCAGAATTTAGTTTTTATTTGCCATGAAAAGAAAAAGTTTACATTTATTTTTTTCAAACTATTCAAACGTAAAAAAATCTATGGGAAAATATTGCGTCGTCGAATGCAACGTTGTTGTGCTGATCCTCCTCCCGTGTCACCGAACACATTTTCTGCTGTTATAGAATCATATTAGATGAAATTTTTATTATAACCGCGTTTTTGGACATATTAAAAAATATTGTATTTTTTTTCACTAAATTTCCACGAGTAGGCGTGTTCTATATTGTGTTGAGAGTTCAATATCGCAGACAAGAAAAAATGCGACCACGTCAGGTGCACATGAATCGTTGGGCCACTGACGAGAAATCTCAATGAAAAATATGAATGGATTCGCGAATACTTCTTTTCTTTTTCATTTTGATCATACGAGTCGAAAAAATAATACAAAGTGTATCATTAATTTTTTTTTTTGGTCTTTTCACCCCAAAAAGCAGCGTGTCGTACACAAATCCCACGGTCCCAAAACAACCTATCCGCTTACTCGGTTACCTACTAAATACTCCCGTACGTCGAGATCAACACGATTTGATTTGTTTACAATACTTTGGGCAAAATCATCAGTTTTAATAGAAATAGAATTTAGGTAACGATCGTTATCCGTCTAACGGAAACCAGTGTCTGTGAATTAGAATCATTGGGTGACATTGTCATGTCGTTGACCACCACAGCGACTCGCAGAACAAAAAGCGATAATCGACTAACGGAAATCGATTTTACAAGAAATAGATAAAATAAATACAAAGCACTTTTAAATTGCCACTCGGTCGTCCAAATAACAATCTTCACTATTGTTTACGTTTAGGGTTTCGACCGACTAAAAATAAGCCGACGATTTGACCTTGTGGTCGTGTATTTTGTACGTTAAATGTGCGAGAGATATGATTGCTCCGAAAAATCTACTAAGTGTTCCCAATCTCTCAATACCTCAATTTTTTTACACAACACAAATCCCTCTCCGCTGTGTACACGTTCGTAACGATGCCTCCGAGCTGTACTTCTGTGACGTTCTTTTATTGACTTATAAAAACGGTGAAAGTATCAGTCTGTATCTGTGAGCCAGACGAAAAAAGGGCTACTTTTTCTGACTGCAGATAACTAATCGAAAACAATAGAATTTTCTTGCTAATCCTAGTATTATTCTGACTTTTATATTTATATAATATTTATTTACTCGATTAGGGTATTTTTAACTTAATAACACGATTAAGTTATCGGTCGTTATCTATCCCGTCCGTCGTATATAATAATAACAAATTATATTCTACGCTGATATTATATTTTTATAGTTACACAATTTATATATTTTGTAAACACTACGATCTCTTAATCAAGTTTCTCTATTCAATTATCGTTAATAGTTGTACAACGAATATAAATAATGTGTTATGATTTAGGTGGAAGTTTCGCATAAAAACACAATGATTACCGTTTGATTGCATATTTAGCTATAATTAACAAACTATGGAAACTTATATGTCAACAAAATTACAGATTGATAACTATATACATTGATAGGAGTGTAAAAAAAGTAATTTGACTATAAATGCTTTTGGAAAATCGATTTTTAAAATTTAGAACGTTACATTCTTAATTATATGTATGAAATATTCATATTTCTATACAAAGTTGCAGACCAACAGTTCAATTAAACTACACACGTGTACTTGGTATTCAATTGTTTTTGGAATTGTACAATCTGTAATAAATTTAATTACAATGAGCACAAATGATGTTTATGTCAAGTAAATATATAAAATAATATATAGAGACAGTAGGCTCGATAGAAGAGGCCAATCAGTGCTGATACTTAATGATAATTAATCGTGTGTTCAAAAAAATGGTTTGTCTAGAAAATATTATGATGTAATATTTTTTTTGATTCTATTTTTAAAGCAACACCAATTTGTTTAGTTTGTGAAGTTACCGGAAAGTTTTCCGATTGTATTTTTAACACCAAATGAGTAGACGCAATGTTATCGATTTTATCAGAATGTATAATATATATATATATATAATCGTAGAAAAAACACTTGATAATTTACAAAATAACTGATGATACAATGTTGATGCACAACATGTTACTACAAGCCCTACTGTTGCATTCATGTTTCGAACACAAAATAATATAACTGCGATTGAATTTAAACGTTGAACGATTTTCATTAAATTCGTATAGAAAAGTGTAAAGGTATGAACAATTTAGTAAAAATGTGCAGTAAATAACAGCAAGTAGTAAACGATAGTAGCTGCGATACATTACAATTCGTAATATATTGTGGTCGTAAGCACGTTGACATTATTAATAATTCATTATGCATTATAATCATCGACAATACTTGGGTCATAATGAGTCCCTATTATTTTTCTAAGACCAATTTTCTCTCAAGCTTAACCGCGTTCGTACGGTTACTACAGTTTTGTTAATTTTATACGTTGGTTAATTATTGATTTTCATATGATTAATGTTATCGCTGCGCTACGAAAATTTTCATAGCTCTACAGTAGAGGAGAATTACTACAGAGAACATTGTACGTACAAGCAAAACGAACGTCATAGGCTAAGGGTCAACAGTTGTACGATTTTTTGGTCATTAGTCATTACACAATATACTTATGTAAAAAGAAAACCGAGAATACTAATTTTAACCCAGACAATTTGATACGATTAGTGAACCCAACGTGACGGATAACAAAAAAATTATGAACGTTGATTTCAGATCGGAAAGCACTCGTTTGCTACGATAATGTCATCACGATAGTATTTCGCACAGTTTTTTGTTGACATTTGTCGAGGCCTTTTTTATTTTGTAAACCGACAACGATACACCATTAGAAATACTGCACTCGGGACCTCGTTGATTAGCTAAATACACATACGTAAAACGACCAGAACAGGAATGATTCCTGTTACATTTGGTTGCTGTGCTGATTACCGTCAGTTTTCATCATTGCCGAATACCCTTAAACGGATTACACTGCGGGGAAGGAAAAGAATAGAAGAATCACGTGGTTCTTGTGGGAGTCGAGCGTAGGTCCAGAGGAGTAGATGGTGGGGATCATTGCTAAGGCGGGACGCGTGGTAGTGCGGTGCGAGAGAGACCAAAGACGCCGGCCGGCCGTCACCGCGCGACATCCCTACCCCGCGGCCAATACGAATCTACCCCACCAAAACGAACACTACCGCAGCCACCCCGTCGTCGTGGCGGCGTCCGCCACCGGCACTGTTCGGCAGTCGTTAGAAAATCGTTCGTGTAGTCAGTCATCGAGTTCACCACACGCCCGGCACATGATTATTTTCGGCGCGCGCCATATAATTTACTAGTATAATTTATTATAAATCATTTTTACAAAGTGCATACGATCAACAATTTATTTTATACTAACATTTTATCTTAGTCGACAATTTTTTTACATTTTATATTAGTATAATTGTACAAAAAAGTAAAATTTATTTGATACTATTTAACGCGAGAACACGCGCAATACATGTGACTGCTTCAGATTACATTTGGACGTAATATTTGTACAATTTTTTTCTATTGCAATTGCCAAGAATTACGCTCGTCTCGTTTTCTAATTGTTGTTGTTGATGTTGTATACGAATTATTTCGGCCGCCGGATTATTGTAATATAGTTTAATCAAGTTAACGTAGAAATTTATTTTTCTAAAAGTATAATATAATAACCGCCGTTTCTCTGACATTAACGTGGTATGCCATCAACTATGTTCGCCGACATGGAATTCTCAAACAATCATCACAGTAAGGTGATCGAAGACACTCGGGCCTTGCAAGTAGCCCTGGAGCTCAGCATGTTGTACATGAACGGTGAGCAGCGTCAAAAATCGGACGTCGTCCCCATGTCTGGTGGAAATTCGGCCATCGCGGATTCCTCGTCGATGGTCTCTCCCAATTACATTCCAAACGGTTTCCCTGAAGAATCGAGAAACAAGAAAAGCCAAAACATGACCGAATGCGTACCCGTACCCAGTTCCGAGCACGTGGCCGAAATCGTTGGAAGACAAGGTGAGAACGTTATTTTATCTTAATTTTTCTCGTCTTCGAGTATTACTCGTTGATAGTATTAAAAATCATGTAAACCGTTGTGTGCAATTGGAATCTATGCCCCAGTGTGTGTGTCGACGGGTCTCGATCGTGGGACACATGTGCGTCAATTATTATTTTTGGAATTCCTGGGAATACTATAATAGTCCGNAAAAATCATGTAAACCGTTGTGTGCAATTCGAATCTATGCCCTAGTGTGTGTCGACGGGTCTCGATCGTGGGACACATGTGCGTCAATTATTATTTTTGGAATTCCTGGGAATACTATAATAGTCCGTCGTATTCTTATCTCGATGATGTGAATCAATCGAATTGCCTATTTTATTATTTCCTGTCGCGGACATTCCGGTTACAAATTTAGACGATACCTTTAGACCACCACTCACTATACTTTGGCTATCATCATACACACAAACCATTAATTGATAAGACGTGTCGTTTAAAGCTCCGTGTTATTTGACGATAACGCGACGATCGTTATTGATCGGTTAACTCTTCGTTCAACTTCCCCCGTCCATTGTCCTATCGATCGTTAATTTAATTCGTTCAAAAAACTAATCGCTCGCGTTTTAATTTCCGATTTTCCTTTATCCTGTTCTTATCACGTCACCGGCAACTCGATCCTGTGACCCTTATACGCTCATTTCTCTGCTGGTGGGTTGTTCGTACGCGGGACGAACCGGTCGTCAAGTTTCACGTTTTGAACAAAAGCGGTTGTGTGCCGGTGCGAACACGTTGTGTGTACGTATAGTGCGAGACAGCTGGCAGGAAATGGTCCCGGAGCGCCTCCTGTTCTCTCCGGGTAAAAGGTCTCGTGGTTACACACAATACGTATCGACGGCGGTTATGTTCAGGTTTGCGTGTGTCAGATGGCGTTTGGGTTGTTTTTTTTTTTATTATTATTTTATTTTAACCTCGGACGACTGTGTTAGACTTCTCGCTTACAACCTTGAAATCGTGTTTATTGAAGACCAAAACTAAAGATGTAATAAAATTTTAGAAATTTTGGTCGCTCCGTTTTTAAATAACGACTTGCCGAGTACAATTGGTAGTTTTCGGTAGCAATGCGCCTGTTATTTTTCATCAATACTACAGTGAAAAACTTCGATTATATTTCTTCGATAAATTGTCTTTACGGGCCCCGGAACATTGACCTATTACGATTGTCGGTTACCAAGGCCACAGTCCTTGGCAAACAAGCACAGTGTTTGTGTCTATGCGCGTGAAAAAAACAACGCGGCAGTCTATTAACCCGGACAATGCTGTTCCGAGTTCCCGCCAAACGAAGGCGCGCACGTTACATTATAATATAAATCTCAAGGTTGTCTATTTCATTCTCTTCATAACGTGTGATAACCACGTGGTGAAGCGGTAAGCGATTTCGTCAACCGGCACTAAAAAAAAATATGTATAAAAATAAGAAACATTATTAGCAGTGTACTGTTCATCAGACGTACGATCGTCTTAATGATTTTTTTATTTTCCGGTTTTTGTTAGACATCCTCTGACCACCAACCACGTCGTGTATTGTTCTTTATTATTATTACTAATAGTGTATTTGCTCTGCACCGGAGTTTTGGTGTGAGAAATGTGAAATAAAAAAAAAAAATTGGACCGTTTCTCCGACAGATACCGAGAATGGCAGCTGTGTCCGCCGCCTCCTCCGTGGGGTTGTGGACCACATTTCGGTATCACAATGCTTTTTGTACCTGTTCACCGTCTCTACCTGTTTGAACCGTGTGACCCGAAGTCCGTCGGTTATTTGAGTGTGTGCGCGAACCTATATTTCCATCAGTTACCGTATTTTCTGTACACAACAATACGCAGTCTTTTCTCTGGCATTTAGGAATTTTTATTAATAGGTACACAATCTGTCGGGGCTGGTAGTTATTTTACCTTGGCAATGGATATTTTATCTAAAAATATTTGTGTGTACAACTCTTCGTTTCTTCAAAACTAACATCTCGTCTCCTAAGTAAACTATTTCTATTTTAAATTTCGCTTCTTTTAATTATTCCATTTTTTTTTTTCACACAACTATCAAACGTCGTATTAAAAGAAAGTCGGCACGTGTAAAAGGGTCGCACGCCCCTACCAAAATAAAAATAAAAAACGGCCATAGTCTCTCTGCGTGTGCAAGAGACAAAATCGATATTGCAGTCTGGGCTGCCGTCGTTACGACCACCACTACTACCATTTCGACGAATATATTGCTAGGGTGTGTCAATTCCCTTAAACCCTTCACTGAAAATTACCACCAAAAAACTTGATGCCCGAGAACTTTTCGATCGATTAAAAAAAATAATTAACAATATTTTATTTTTACCCGCCGTCTTGATAATATTTCAATCTTTAAGCATTTTCAATAGTTTTTATATCAATAATTTATTTAGTGTACCCGACCTAAATTTTCTTACGCTGGACCTGAATATTGGTGGTTCTAGTTTATCGCGTTGTTGGGTACTACTGTTTTTATATTGTATATCATTAAGGTTGACCGCCGCCGTTACCCCGTTTGGGTGTATCGTTCGCTCTCCACTGTACTGCCGCATTAAAGTTAAAAAAGAACGATTATTATTTTGGTGGTGTGTTGAAGAAGGCTATACTAGCGTGAAAACGCGGCCGCTTTTACCCCTCTTACAATATACCATTTCCCCATGACAACGGATGTTGTTGCCTTGGATACCGCCGCACCCTCGTCTTCGTTTTAAGCACAGGCGGCGGCCGGCGAAATCCAAGCTCACGTGTGTGTGCGTTTCGCGCTGGTCGGCCATGGTAAAGTGTAGGTGGTGGTGGTAGTCTTTACTGCCGGCGAATTGATTTGTGTAGGCCGTTAACCCCGACGCGCATTGACCTCCCCACCATTCTTTAGTTTGCACTTTCGTCGCGCAGTATTTTTTAAATGTGTGGTTGAACTTTAGGTGAGTGTTTACTCCCCTCTCTAAACAATGCTAAAATCTGTCGAAATATTCGAAAAATAAAAGACTGCGTTTTTAAACTGGTCATTTCCTCGTCGAACCCCATTTCCAGATAAAAATATTTCGCCTGAAAAATATTATCCGACCGTAAAACACTTGACCGCTGTTTAATCTAAATATTTATGTAGAATTGCATTATTGCTTTATGTATATATATATACATAATTTCCTTCAATGGTGGGCAATATAATGAACGATAAAGCGGCGGCGGTTTTAACTCAAATAATCGTATGTTACGTTTAATATACCATTGAGGCCGTCGTCGTTTGGCAAGGTTGGAAACGAAGCTCCGGTTGAACTGCCTCTACCAAGGTGAGCGGCGTTTTCTTCCATCCTCGTATTGATAAAATACGTTCTCCCGATTTACCCGTCGGACTCGTTCGCGGTAAACTAGAGGGGATGAGTCGGGGAGTTTCTATTAATATCGCTCATTACGAACTATTATTAACAAAATTATTTGAAATGATTTAAAAAAAAAATGCTTAATATAGTTTTTGCATTATTTTCAGGCTGCAAGATCAAGGCCCTGCGCGCCAAAACAAACACGTACATTAAAACTCCTGTACGCGGCGAAGAACCAGTATTTGTGGTGACTGGACGTAAAGAAGACGTAGCCAAAGCAAAGAAAGAAATACTGTCAGCGGCTGAACATTTTTCACAAATAAGAGCTTCTCGCAAGAATTTGGCTGGTACCCTATCGCCACCAGGCCCACCTAGTGTTCCTGGACAAGTTACAATTCAGGTAAGAGCACTCTTGTGTGCATTTTATTTTAGTTTGAAGCTATTAAAAAAATATATTATTTTATATTTAGGTTAGAGTACCTTACAGAGTAGTGGGTCTGGTTGTTGGTCCAAAAGGTGCCACTATCAAACGTATCCAACATCAAACTGGTACATATATTGTAACACCATCACGTGACAAGGAACCTGTATTTGATGTCACTGGCTTCCCTGATAGTGTTGAAACTGCCAAACGTGAAATTGAAGCTCATATTGCTTTACGGACAGGCAATGGTTTGATGGATGATGAAAACGGTGTTGCCCTTGCTGCCTTGTGCAAAGCTAATCCTCTTGCTGGTTTATTTGATCTTACAGACTCCATGGGCCCAGCTATTTTATCCGGGAGTTCAGGATGTAGTTCGGGATCAGTAAGTTCATGTGGGTCTGGGATTTCTGCACTTGGCGATTTGGGTAATATTTGGTCAGATGAAGGTATTGGCGGAGAGTCTCCATCTTTTGAAAATGTTGGTTTGTGGGGCTTTATGGGATCTTCCAGGCCTTCACCAGCCAGTTCAACTTCACCTCCACCATCAAAAAAGACTTGCTTTGTGTGTCATATGAGAGACATTGATGCAGCACTAGTACCATGTGGTCATAATTTGTTCTGTTTGGACTGTGCATCTAATGCTTGCGACTCAAATGGTGTTTCTAGTTGTCCGGTATGTAAAATGCCGGCCCGCCAGGCTATTCGCATAATCTCCTAAACATATTATATATATATAGTACCATAAATAAATCCCTTTTATTTAGTACCTAAATGATTCCTAAAAACAAATCCAAAACAACTAGTATTAAAGTTAGATTATAGATTAAATTACATTATATATTGCTCTATTTAGTGGAACAAAAAAAGGGATTCAATCAAAGGCTGATTGATTTAACTGACGAACATTACAAAACGAGTCATTTTTATTTAATTATTATTATTAAATTATTATTCTTTTTTAAAGAATTTTTTATTATTATCCATTTGGTTATTGTGTATTTTGTTGATAAAATATGTTATTTGTTTAATTTTTTTCTCTAAAATTGACTGACGATCTCTATGAGAAGTCGTTACTTAAATGTTCTCAAAAGAAAACATGACATAATTTTAAATATTGATTTTGCCAGTGTTAGTGATTAATAATTTATTATCAACAATTTTTTTCTCTTTGAGTTTTTTTTTTTTAATAGGTGTTAGATTTATAAATGCAATTACTGTAACAAATGTTAAGAGTTTGTTTCGGTTTTATTAACGACTGTGTAAGTTATAAATAATATTGTATACTGACATATCCCTTGTTAAGTTTTTTTACAAAACAATTTAAAGAAATTAGCAGCACCTAATCTCCAATACTGTTGGAACTCGGTGCTAAAATATAATTTTTTTTTTTTTAACAGTTTACTTAAATTTTAACAAACACGTATGCAAAGGAAATATATATACATTTATATTATATAAAAAATTCTTAAAAGCTTAAAGTTTTATTCATATAAGCCATGTTCATTTTTATTTATTATTTTTCTTACATTATATTATTATTTCTTTTTTACTTATTAATACAACATAAAGATTTCTATTTAAACATATATATATATTTTATAAAATATTAATGAAAAAAAAAAAACAAAAAAAATTATTTCACTCCGAAGCGGCACATTTTAATAGAACAGGTGTGGTGATCGGGCTGTGATTTTAACTGCCAATTTTTTTTCCATTACCTCGACACCCCACCAAACATAACGTAAATTTAGACATTTTTTTACTAGCTAATTAAAGCTCAATTTAACCAAAATACAATCATTTGTTAGAGTAAAATATATTAAAAAGTATAGGTTATGGTATATATGTATCTCCACCACTCAAAATTTAAAGACTGTTTGATCATTTTAATTAATTTACCACCAAGGGATGACAACTTAATTTAGTAATTAATTAATACATGTATGAGTGTGTGCATATGCGTGTAAAGGGCATTTGCAACAATATAGATCTTAATTTTATATTGTATTATATACGTATAAATAATTTATAATTTTATATTTAAATGAAGACATATTTTATTATTGTAAGTCCTAATATTGCCAAATTTTTGACCCTTAATATTAAAATGTGCCATTTCGTGTTTTAAATAAAAGATATTTTTTTCCATAATAAATTGTTTACATTTTGATATGTAGCATCATTAATTGTATTGAAAATTTATATATATATATATAAAATATAATTAAACTTAAATTTAATGTCTAAATATTCTTATAATATAAATTATATAATTATTATAGCAATGATGTTGTGTAGGAACTTTTGGTTTTTAGAGTGATTGAAGGAAATGTTATTGTAACTATTTACATACTCTCTTATATTATGCAAAAAATTAAATATATAAAAAAAAGTTTTCGTTTTCTAGAGATATTATACTTAAACAAATTGTATATTTTTGTTATTTATTAAATATTCCCTGCCCACCCACCCCAATAAATATTACCCATTCCCACCCTTACTGCATTGTTAAGTATGTAGGCTATTTAGTTAACTTTATTTTTATTATTTTTTATACTTTTTTATTTCATATATTTATCTGAAGAAAAAAATAATTTAGTTATTTACATTTTAATTATTAAATATTTATATTATTTAGTTGTGATGTTTTATTTTTTAATGTATTTGATGTTAATATTAATACTTAAAAAAATATACCGAACTAGTATTATTTATTAGGATCTTTTGTTTATTTTTTTATTTAAACATTGTTCAGGTTTATTTCTTAGTGCACATTTTTTATTCATATTATTTTTATTTAAATAGAAATAAAAACCTTATTGCTTTTTATATTTTGTGTTTTTTATTTATTTATTTTAAGTTCTTTTGAAAATGTTGGTTTGTGGGGCTTTATGGGATCTTCCAGGCCTTCACCAGCCAGTTCAACTTCACCTCCACCATCAAAAAAGACTTGCTTTGTGTGTCATATGAGAGACATTGATGCAGCACTAGTACCATGTGGTCATAATTTGTTCTGTTTGGACTGTGCATCTAATGCTTGCGACTCAAATGGTGTTTCTAGTTGTCCGGTATGTAAAATGCCGGCCCGCCAGGCTATTCGCATAATCTCCTAAACATATTATATATATATAGTACCATAAATAAATCCCTTTTATTTAGTACCTAAATGATTCCTAAAAACAAATCCAAAACAACTAGTATTAAAGTTAGATTATAGATTAAATTACATTATATATTGCTCTATTTAGTGGAACAAAAAAAGGGATTCAATCAAAGGCTGATTGATTTAACTGACGAACATTACAAAACGAGTCATTTTTATTTAATTATTATTATTAAATTATTATTCTTTTTTAAAGAATTTTTTATTATTATCCATTTGGTTATTGTGTATTTTGTTGATAAAATATGTTATTTGTTTAATTTTTTTCTCTAAAATTGACTGACGATCTCTATGAGAAGTCGTTACTTAAATGTTCTCAAAAGAAAACATGACATAATTTTAAATATTGATTTTGCCAGTGTTAGTGATTAATAATTTATTATCANATAAATAAAATATATATTATAAATGAAATTAAGTTGTATTAGATTTTAAAAATTATATAATTATGTTTTTGTGTATCCATTTATAATAATATATTATAAAAAAAAAAAAAAATGACTTGTAACTTAATTATAAAGATATCCTAATTGTTTTTTTTTCAATATAAAAAGTATATTATGATAAGATTCCTATTTTTATTTATTTGAAATGTAGAGAAGCTATAGCTATAATCGTATAAGTTATAATTGAAAGTTCTGGTGCAATGACCAGATACATCCATTTTCTTGAAAATTAATTTTTACTAATTTTTATTTTATACAATAAAAACTGCTTTATAAAAAGGTACAAAAAAAGATGTACTATAATTTCTGAAGTAGTTAAAACAATAAGACTTGTCTTGTTTGCTATACTTCAATCATAAGCCCAATTTTAACAAAACTCTTAAAGGGGCTTATTACATATAATTGACATCTCAAGTTTTTTTATATAAGCGTGTATTATATAAATATATGATAATAAAATATTACATATATCGAAAAACAGTCTTAAAAATTAAAAAAAAGTTAAAGAATAAAACGATTTCTTTTTATCAGTAAAAATAATAAAAACAGCCAAAAGTATATTGTTTAACAAATGGTTCTAAAATAAATTTTAATTAATTTACGAATAGCACTCAAAATTATTGCATGTATAACAAGGAACATTAAAATGAGAACTAAAACATACTATTTATAGACATATTTTTAAATACTTGTGTAGTTAGTTAAATCAAATTTTAAGTCTTCTGCCAAAACTTGTAAACTTATTACCTACATAAGAACAACCATTTTGTAATAGATTAATAGTAGCCGAGTGGATTTCGACATATTTAATAACTGAAATTAAAATAACTTCTAGCTTGAAAAACACTATAACCTAATCAATCTATGTTAAATTTTGGTATAGACATACATTGGGAAATGAGTTATTAGTAACTACCAAAAAAATGGGTCTCAAGTAAGTTCCAGTGCAAGACATCTATCATTTCAATAGAACATTTGAATGAGCAAGATATGAGTGGCTGCATAATATTATACCAGAATGTACTTTTAAGTTTGTGGAAAGCTGATTTGAAGTTAATTTAAAGTGATTAGAAGTATCTCAATCCGATTGAAATGAGTAGTGGCAAATATAATAATTAATATTTAAAAATTAGTTGTTGTGTTGCATTTAACTGTATCAGTAATCAAATGTTTTTACACTGAACTAATTATTAGTTAATAGTAACTTTCAGTATAGAAAAAAATTTCATTTCTTTTAATCTAATAAAATTTTTAAAGTCATATCTCAACCATACCACTTAACTTTTTTTATAAAATTGTCTTGAAATAACTAACAAAAATAATTGTTAATTCTAACAAAACAAAAAATATCTCAAATAATATCATTATTATACTATTACTAAAAATAGTATGTATATTTTAATCATATAATCAATACAATTGAGTTGAAATATATGACAAATACAGTATATAATTTTATAATATTAATAAATTTTTAATGGAGCTTATGAGATGTTTTTTACTGAGAGTATTATTGTTGACTTATAAAAGCAAATTTTTTACAGGTAAATAATTTTTAAATCAAAAATTACTAGAGATAAAAAAAAATTATTAACATATAAATGTTTACAATTGTCAATCCATTACATTTTACTATATAAAAATTAAATTTTAAAAGTGCAATTTCTTTAATTTTAGATATTGTATATTCATTTGATTTTCCCCATGACCTCTTGAAGACGTTTTCTTGCTGTAATGACTCTTTCTTCTTGACTTTTAATATCCTCTATAGTAACATTCACTTCCTAAAAGAAAAAATTTAAGTTAAACCATTGCATATTTTAAATTTACATTTATTAAACTAACTTGTACAAGAGGTTGATCTGGAATTCTATACACAATTTCTTTGTCATATTGAGATCTCAATGGTGGTTGACCAGTAACTGGCATGGCACAAACATGCAAGGCGGTAGCAACACTTTGTAATAAAGTTTCATCTGTAACATGTGGTCCAGCTGGTCTTAATAATCCAGTCCATTTTGTACCTAATTCATAACCATCTTTTTCTGAGGCTCTTATTCCTTCCAACCTTTTTTCCCAGAAAACCTTAAAAAAATCCATCTTTGAACATAAAAGTTAAAAAAATTTAAAAAAAAAAATAGTGTACTTGTCTTGGTTTTTCTTGACGTCCATGTTTAAAATCTGATTTAACTTTGCCTTCTTGGTTTTTATGTACAGTAACCGGTTGTTTGAAAATTGATGCAGTTTGTCTTATAGGAGGAACTAAAGCACCTTCACTCCTTATACCACGACTGTAATATTTTATAAAATTAACAAAATACTCATTTAGTATATTTATGTGTTACGAGTATGAGATTTTAATAGTAGATCAATAGGCCAATATTATGTAATTGGTCTATCCCAACTAATATTTATTTATTACACAAATTAACAAATGTATAAAGTAATTGATTTAAACATTCCATTTATATATTTTTAAATTTGATAAACTACTGATAAATTGAATGAAAAATACATTTATTATACTTTAATTTTTTTTTTTTAGCTTAACATAAAGATTTAACAAACATTTTTGTATAAAATTTACCATAAAATTTCCATCTCTTCCGCTTGTGTCTTAAGATACAATATTTGTTCTCGTCGTTTTTCAGCCCGCTTCATTCGCGATATTCTTGCTTTTGTCTCAAGTGATCTTTTCTTTAACCGTGGCATGATCAACTTTGAAACGACGAACTGTAAACTACTTATACACTTGTAACTAACTTATACAAAGAATAAAAACATAAGTTTAAAAAAGAGAAATGACAAATACAAAATTACTTGAGTAATATTTCTAACAAATTTTAAAAAGACATTTTTAACAATTATAATTTTATCTAATAAAACGCCTGTAATACTATTAAAAACTAGCACAGGTAAATAGTGTGTATTTATCTTAATAAAATATTGTTAAATTAAATGCAAATAATTATTCAAATAATTAATTAAAAAAAATTATTATTGTTTACACTGATAACAATATTTTATAAATTATTACTATCACATTTTAACATAGTATAGAATGATTTCGAGGAATGTGGTAAGCAACAAACGTTTTACTATCGATATTATTCATATCAGAAAACTCTTGTATCTTTATCTAACCAAGTTTGAATTTCTCCGTTTTCTAGCGTTGCTAATGTTTGCCACTGTCAAATTTCTTTATCAAATTATTACGTAACCATATTTATACCAATTTTAATAAAACAGTTTTATTATTGGTAACGGGTGTTGAATCAAGATAAGATAACGTGTAAGACATTTGAAATTAAATTTGATGAATTTGTTAGACTTTGTTATAATGAATACCTTATATAAATCAATTATATGAAATAATTTTAATTTAAATACTATTCATAAATTATACTTAATATATTTTCATTTATGTTGTTTTTAAGCTCAATAATTATTTTATCTTAGAACAATAGGATATTAATGATTTGAGTCTAAATTTTCTACAAGGTAAGAAGTTAACTTATAATTACATTGTATATATTTATATTCTGTCTTCTTAGTTATCTATTATTTTCAGTAAATCTATTTATATTATTTTATAATTTCGTAGTATAATTGTGGTATTCATTTATCCAATCAATTATCAGTAATTTTCTCTAATTTTAAACAAAAACTATACTAAATATACATCCCAAGGCATATTTAAAAATTCATAATGGAAAGATTGGTAATGATAACAGAAATTTTTATATCAGCATTGCACAATAAATGAGTGAGACACATGCCCTGTGTCTCCCTCTAAATATGCCACTCTATACATTATAGTGTTACATTACATTACTGTATACTGTAAATTTTATTGTTATTGGTGTAAAAGGTTACAAGTAAACAAAATTTAATAAAATACCAGTTTTTAGAAGTTAACCAGTCTTTGACTATGTTTATGTTTAAAACACCATAGGGTCATTTTAAATGTTTGAAAAAGAAATTTTAATTTTCTTAAAAATTTATTTAAAAGTAACATCCTTGAATGCTGATACAAATAGGTATTCATAAATTATTTTTCAAAATATGTACTAGCAATCCTTGTAATTACTATCCAAAGACATTAAACTTTTAATTAAAACTATTTTCAATTTAATATGTATAGTATAGAACAGTAGATAACTATGTTATTACTAATACATAGGTATACAATTCATTATTAAATATGAAAATATATACAATATCTAAAATTCAAAAAGAAAAAAATATATAAATAAACACAATATATTACATTTTATGGGAATAAACTAATAAAATTAAACATTCTGTATCACAATGTCCAATAGAATATTAATAGGCGATGATTTTTAATTAATTCTAAAATTTAAACTTTCCAACAAATAAAATCATTTCTTACTTAATAAGTTGTGTGTTGTATAAAATGTTATATTTTTTAGGTGATTTGTGTCAAATTATCATCATGACGTGTAATTGTGTTGATGCAATTGTACCATCATTATTTGGTGTACAAACATTATTTGCTGCTCGACATACTTCGGAATCTTGTGGGACTAACGGTCTACCTTTAACTCCTAATTCTATTACAATTTTAGGTCGAGCTCAAAAGCTTCGTACTTTAAGCCATCCAAATTTAATTTTACATTTAGATTTTATACGCCAACAACACGGTCGTATAATTATAGTGTCTCAATATTTCAACCGTTCTTTATGGACTGAATCCAGTAATTGTTCATTACTATTGCCATTGAATAAAATTTTAAGTTGGATTCATGAAGTTCTATTAGCTTTAAGTAATTTAAATACTAATGGTATTGTACATCGTTTTTTAACTCCGCAACACATATTATTGGATGAGGAAGATAATGTAAAATTATTTAATTATGGTATTTATTATATGACTGATTATGGTAAAAATATTAGTTTTCCCATAGGGAAATTGAAGTATACTGCGCCTGAAGTGTTAGTGCTTGATTATACTAAGCATAAATCTGGTCCTAAAACTGATTCTTGGTCAGTAGGAATCATTATGTTGGAATTAATTCTCGGAGCACAGCTTTGGCCAACTCTCAAATTAAGTCAAGTAATTAGAAAGGTATTGTCTTTGACTCATTGTTCAGATATTGTAACTAGGTTAGCTCGAGAGATGGGTCGATTATCATTGTACCAATCATTACCGAATGAACTCAAAGATTTTCTAAATAAATGTTTATGTATTGATGTTGGCAAAAGAATGTTGCCTAAAGAATTAAGTACACACTCAGTGTTCTCCCTATATGGTTGTTCCAAAACATTGAGAAATAAGTGTTATGCGTGTAAACATCCTTTAAGACAAATGGAACTTTCTCAAATTTATTATTTATGGAAGTTAGCTGGAGGTGATGTAGAATGGGCTCTTAAAAAAGGAGGATTGCTACGTAATGAATCATCTGTATTACTATTACCAAGGTTAATTACTCTTGAAGGAACCTTGTATGGTAGTATACGAAATCAAAGTTCACTAATGGATTTACAAGTTGTAGAACTCTCTTTAGATTTACTAGCAAATCGTCTGCAACATTTAAAAATTACTGATTATTACCCATCAATTGATGAAATAAAAGAGCGTTCAGATGTTACTGATACACTACCTTTAGTTATTCGTGAAAAGGATACAGAATATCAATTTCATAGGATAATATTGTTTGACCGATTACTGTCAGTTTATCCTCATAAATTTGATAAATTAATTGTTGAATCTAAAAAAGATATTCCACCTTATTATAGGGGAGAAATCTGGTCATGTCTTTTAAAAGTATCTGGCGATACAGAAAGTGAATATTTAGCTATTGATAAAGAAACTGCTGGAGTGACAGATAGACAGATAGAAGTAGACATACCCCGGTGTCATCAATATAATGATCTATTATCATCACCTGTTGCCCACAAGAAATTAAAAAGAGTATTGAAAGCATGGCTTGTTAGTCATCCTAAGTATGTTTATTGGCAGGGTTTGGATTCTTTGTGTGCACCTTTTGTGTACCTAAACTTTTGTGAAGAACATATAGCTTATGCATGTTTAACAGCTTTTGTGAAAAAGTATTTGAATGATGTTTTTCTAAAAGATAACTCTGCTGTTATTCGTGAATATTTAGTTAAACTATCACATTTAATTGCATTCCATGACCCCCAATTGGCAAACCATTTAGATGATAAAGCGTTTATACCAGATTTGTTTGCTATACCTTGGTTTCTTACAATGTTTTCCCATGTATTTCCATTGCATAAGATATTCCATTTATGGGATAAATTACTTTTGGGTGATTCATCTTATCCATTATTCGTTGGATTTTCTATTTTAAATCAATTACGAAATACATTGTTGAATTCTGGATTTAATGAGTGTATATTATTGTTTTCTGATTTGCCAGAAGTTGATATCGAAAAATGTGTTACCGAATCTTGTAAATTTCATGATAGTACCCCAAGATCAATTACTTTTAGAAAACACGAATTAAGATTGGAGACACGAGAATGGGATCCATGTTTAACTTATGAAGTATTACACAATGAATTTTGTCCACGAATAAGTGTATATGATTTATTGGAGCTCAAAAAATCAAATAATAAGTTTTTAGTTGTAGATACTCGTACTCAAAATTTATTTGTAGAAAGAAGTTTACCTGGGAGTGTGAACATATTTGTAACGGAAGAAGATTTAAAAAATGAACAATTTGATTTAACCCCTAGTCCAGAACTAAGTGCTTTGGTGAACAACAAAGGCAGTGTGTTAGTAGTAGTAGATAGCATTCGTGAATTGGAAAAAATGAAAAAGTTTAGTCGATTTTTAGTACTAAAAGAGTATCCAAAAGTTTGCTGTTTACATGGCGGAATAGAATCTCTCGAACAACTTAATTTGTTAGTACCTGCAATATTATTTTGATACCAAATTAATAGTGTTTGTTATTTATTATGTTTAATAAATGTTAATTATTACTCTGTATTATATATTATTGAACATTTAAATTTTAAGAATTATTTATTATTACTGTTGAAATATTTGTATAAAATATTAATGTTCCTTACATTTTAATAAATTTATGTAATTTATAATTTATTAATCTTTCCAACTTCACGTAAATTATAATACGCATTAAATTTTTTTTTCGTAATATAAGTTACACAATAGCTGAAGTAAAATGCAATCAACTTTAAATTATATGTCGTATATTTTTAAAAAATTGATAACAAATATTTTCTTATTTGAATTATACCAAAAAAAATAATCGAAAAAAAGTTGTTGCAAATGTCTTTAATTTTTTTAAAAGTCTAGGATTGAACATTTTCTAATGACCTAGTAATACAATTAAAAAAAAAAAAACTAGTTTTTGAACAAACTCAAATTTTTGATAAAAATTGCTAAAAAAATTTTAGAGCTTATTAAAATTAATCCAAGCTCAATTATTACATACATTTTTGTTTAAAAAATTGATTTAGTCTATAAACATAATTATGAAATCTTTTGTGCAATATTACTGAATATTTAAATTCAGAGGCATTTTATACATACAATAATATACATTACTTAAAATGAATGTTAGTAACTAAGTTTAAATATTATAAAAAAAATAATTAAAGAACTTTTTCTTTTATTTAGAAGCTCGTGCTGTGTAAAGTACAATGTTTTGTATTGAACGATAATCTAAGAATTTGTATTGTATCTGAGTTGCTGTTCAAATCTGATTTCTTTTTTATATTAAATAATTAAATATGACATATTATTTACTTTTTCATTGAATAAAAATTCATTTTTAGTATATTTTTTAGATGATTATAATTTGGCTTTTAACGGGAAATGGGTTGGTCAGTAAGTGTGCGAATTAATCGGCCCCATTCTAATTTTCACTAAAAATTATAATGGAGCATTGTCGCCCTGTAAATGACGCCCCTTTTTAAGTTAAAGAACATCTGCATTGTATTTCATTTTTTAAAAATGGTGTTGAGTATCGGGAGTGGCATGGGTCATATGACCTGAAAAATCAATAAGCACATGACTGCATTGAATGAATGCTCACTCATTACATACCGTAACATAGTAGAGATCGCATAAGTTTAGTGTAAAATTTTTGTACGTATATAGTTATGATAGATAAATTCAGTATGCATACAATGATAAGATTTCATATTAATAAATAAAACTATCAATTAGTAATTATTATTATTATTATTTAATTTTATAAATTACTATAATTTTTAAATAAACTAAAGTAGATTGTTTTATTTTTGGTGTATTAACATAAAAAATGATGTTTAATAGTTTTGAAATAATTAGTAAAAATAATTAAATTACTTAACAAACCCATGTTAAAAATTACAGGTTTCATTTGAATGTTAGGCAAATCATGAGGCTATTATTACTCCGACATGGCGGTAGTGAGAGTACAGAGAATTCGAGTATTCCGTCACAAACCGTCTTTAAGAATTTGGGGTTGGATAGTCAAGGTACTGCCGTTTTTGCTGGTGTTGCTTGTGGTCTTTGCCATGTGCTTCATAGCCCTAACTCACGTGAGAGATAAATAATGATTTTATTACTACTTATTGTTTTGTATTTACATTTTTATGCAATTATGTTTTAGGTCCCTATTATACAAAAAAACAATCAATCAGTAAAGAATCATGTTCGAATGACAAAATTAAAATCGGAAGTCAGTACTTAAATATGTTGAATTCTGCTTCTATAGAGACAATAGTAGATCCTAAAAATTAATTACATTTTTTTGGGGAAGTAGGAAGAGATAAAACAATATTATAAAGAAGTTTACCGTTAGGTTTATTACACAAAATTAAGAATTAGAGTGTGGTATTATAACCCCTACAGACAAATTTATCAAGCTACATCCATAGTATTAACATTCACTGCACAAATATATTTAGTGGTTGTTTCATGGATGTATTTATCATGTAACCACGATATTTATTAGTTATTTAAGATTTCTAGAAGATATCTTTGAGACATTGTAAAATAGTTCACTTTTTTTTATATAAATAACTAATTAATAATTTTGAACAACGTTATCTTACCTTTTATTTCACGGTATAGAAATAATTTTCTAAAAAGTCTCCAAATTATTAATAACTAATTTATAATAATGTGAACAGTAAAAATCAATGCATTACAGGGCGCTTTTATTTCCAATTTCTCTTTTCTAAATATGCCACTCATTATAATTATATTATAATTTTCAACTATTAGATTTAAAATTTATAAATAATAAAAATTACATTTATTTAACTTCTATAATTTGTATGTTTAATTGTTAGACTATAAAAATTTACGTTTTTGTCATTTTAAGTTTTTTTAATTTTAACTATTATAGCAAGATAGCAGTCTATCATCTAATGACTTTCAATTAGAGCGTTTAATGAAGATTAAACCAGAAAAAATTAATTTGTTTACTTCTCGATTAAAACAAGAAGCCAAATATTATTGTTCAAAAAAGTTTACTGAAATCAATGAGAATTCTGATAAATCAAAAATAATAACAGAAAAAATAGGACCATGCCGTCCAAAAGTATGGTGTGCAAAATCCCCTCCAGTTTTATGTAAGTATTTTTTAAGATTGTGTACTTTTCAAATATTTATTTTTGGAAATCTTATAGAATATATAATTTCATTTTTAAACAATACCAACGTATATATTTTAGTAATAACAATAAAACTATTATCTAATAAAATGAATACATCCATAATTCTTCATAATTTCATTAGTTGTTTACAACTCTATAATTTTGGCTCACTAAAATCTGTAAAACTATTAACTTTTAGGGTCGCGTACTTAAATTTTGGTGCTGAGTTTTAATATTTATTTACTTTTAACATGTTGAGGCAAACCTTTCTGGATTTGGTGTAGAGGGTTACTGCCTTCCTTAGACAATAACTTATTTTAGAGAATACTCTCTAAAAGTCATATATTTGATAAAGTGATTGTAAAAAGTGGGGTAATTTTTTTTTTTATACTACTACAACCTATATAATCTATTACTGCTAATTTCATTTGCTCTAAAATGTTATACTTACACCTAATAACTGAATATTGCTTTTCTGATTAATTCAGAAAATATACATAGTTTTATTTTCAATCATTAATTAATAATTTTAAATTATTAATTGATAATTATTTTATACATATTTATTAAACCTATAATTTTAATTGATTTTATGGTATATTATAAAGAGATAACAATTGTGAAGAATGTTTTTTTTAATAGATGGAACTGAAAAATTGAAAAGTGCTGCTATAAATTTGACTGAAGAAGAAATTATTGATGCTGTTGGTATAATGGGTATAGGAGGTTCTTGGGCACCAGAAGATTGCAAAGCTAGACATTCTGTTTGTATAATAATACCTTACAGAGATAGACAAGATCACTTATGGACACTTTTACATAGGCTTATACCTTTACTTAAACGACAACAGTTGGATTTTAAAATTTTTGTTGTTGAGCAGGTTGGGATTTTATATAACATTCATAAAATAAAAATTATGTATATATTTTAATAATTATAGGTCAGTAATGCAACTTTTAATAAAGGTGCTATAATGAATGCTGCATTCTTAACCATTTATCGTAACTATGGCCTTCGTAATGCAGATGATTGGCACAAAGGATTGTACAACTGTTACATATTTCATGATGTAGATATGCTGCCTGAAGATGACAGGAACATGTACAGTTGTTCAAAATTCCCAAAACATTTGTCAGTAGCAGTGAATGAATTTAAATATAAGTAAAATCATAAAATAATACACGAATTTTATGCAATTTAATTACTCAATGAACATTTTTAGATTGCCTTATCATCACCTTGTTGGTGGAGTATTTAATATTAGACCAAAGCACTATTTTCGTGTTAATGGATACTCTAATCTTTTTTGGGGTTGGGGAGGTGAAGATGATGATATGGGATACAGGTTTGTAACAAATGAGCAAACAGTATTTAAAAATATGTTCAGTTTTTTTTTTGTTTAGAATTGAACATGTGGGTTTACCTATCACACGACCACCAGAACATTTTGGACGTTATACAATGGTGAAGCATATTAAACGTAAACCTCTTGCTCATGCTGTTCGCCTGAAATTAGTACATACTAGCCAAAAACGATATAAATATGACGGACTTAATACATTGAAATATAAAGTATGCAGTGTTGATTCAGAAAAATTATTTACTAGAATATTAGTAGATGTTGGAGATATACCTGATTATGTGCGATCTTTTGAAACTAAACAATCTTCTACCAAAAAAAAAAACCAATAGTACCAATTTTATTAATTTTTATTATTTTACATAATTTATTTATACTACCTTTGTTTTTATATTGTGTAAAACAATAATTCTCTGTTCTATAGTTAATTGATACTTCCAAATATCATATTAGATGTTAATTTGTGATAAATAATAGATTTGCATGTATAAATTTTATACTAAAGAAAATTAAAAAATTGTTATACATATTTGATAAAATGTCCAAAAAAAAAAATTGTTGTTATAATAGTTATTTAATTAGAGTATTATTTTTATTAAATTAAAATGTACTTATCAAATTACTATTATCTTCCAAAGATATATTTTTTTTTGGTTTAATATAATTTAAAAAGGTATTATTCTTATATATTATTTACAATTCTAAAAATAAGTAAAACTGTTATGAAATTTTACAAAAAATTTACATTTTCAAGAAAAAAAAATTTATTTATCTGGGCAAAAAGTAAACTTTAGCTATAATTAAAATTACTCTACGTGTAAATACTAAGTAGATTTTTGACTGTTTATTTATTTTTTTTATAAAAGTTTCGCTAATAGACGACATTTTAGGCAAATAAAAATTCTCAATATTATAACTATGGGACATCTAAGAGTAATTGTATAAACATAAATTTTATAATACATATAAAATAGAAAGAAAATGAATAGTCCATTTTTACTTATAAAATCAAGTAACATAGACTATTTGAAATTGAAGGTAAAGAATAATGATAATTCATACAAATCAATGCTTTTTAAGTAAAATATCTTCTATTTTATTAAATTAATAGTAAAAAATAGTACTTTTAAAACTAAATACACAATAGAAAATTGTTTATATAAATATTTGAATTAATAATTATAATACAGAAAATAAAGACTAGAAAAATAAAAAAACAGTAGGTGAATCAACAAATATCCTAAATAATAAACAAATCTAAGATTTAACTGATAATTTAATTTAAAAACTAAATAAATATCACAAGAAACATGAGATGTTAAAAGAAGTTTGTTAGGAACTTAAGAATCTTAACTACACTTATAATTTCCTAACAAGTATTAATTGAAATAATTATAATAAACATGAGTTTTACTATGCCATAAGCAAAGTCTGCTAATTAAATGCAAAAACTGTCCTAAATAATATGTAAAATATTATAAAAAGAAAACAAATTTTGGAGTAAATATAGAAAGAAAATTAGCAAAGAAATTATTTCAATAAAATTTAAATTTAATAAACTACTAAAATTAATAAGCTTTAAATTAATTTTATTATTAATAAGAATAATTTTAAATAAAATTATATGAGTAGTTCCTTTTATAAGTCAACAAAAATTTAAGTTATTCATTTTTAATTTAATAGTTTTAAGTTAAAATTATAAAAATAAGTTTTAATCATTTAAAACAAACATCGTATCAGATTACTATAGTTTAAAACAAATTTCATCTAATACAAACAAACCCATTTAAAATCTCTAAAAAAAAGTTATAAAAATATAAAAATATTTTTATTGAACAAATAAAAAAATCTTTAAAGAAATTTAAATTAGTACAATACATAAAATATAAATAACTAAAACTCAATTTTCATCAGATGTGTAACGACCAACAACAATTGTTCTGAGTATTGATCCTACTTCATTTGGATCATGTAAAGCTTCACCTAACATTTTTTCTACATTCCTCATAATGGTCATTTTTTGATAGTCTTGTAAGGGATATTCTATTTTTTCAATAGGTCCAGTCTTAAATTATTTTAAAGTTCTTATATTAATATTATTATTCTTAGAATTTTGTCCAACTTACTTACTTTAAACCAAAAATTAATGGATACAGTATAACTACTACTCATTAATGACTCAACATGGTGAAACCAATAAATAGGAATATACAAAACATCTTTAGGGCCTACAACAACTTCATAACCACAAGCGTCTTTGAACTTAGGAAATTTTATATAATCTGGATTATCAAAGTCTACCTAAATACATGAAATAAATTATGTATCTATCAAATTACAAGTTTATACATTATTTCTTACTTGACTTTGACGATCATAAGGATGGTGAACTGGGTGTGGATATAAACATTCAAACTGACTAGGAGGAAATAAAATAAAACGCTTATGTCCCCGTACAACAGCAAACATATTTTGTTGTTCATCATAATGGCATGGAGTGATATTTCCTGAAAATAATTGAATTTAACTTAGATAATTTTGTTTAAAACAATTAATTTTGAGTTAAATTGTATTTATTTAAAATGTATTACCTTCTTGGGAAATGAGAAGAAGATTGGATGTAAGTGGACCCCACTTACAAATTTTTTGTTTTGATATAACCCAGTCCCAGTTGAACATTACAAAATCTCTAACAATATGATGTCCAATTGAATTATTTAGTGCTTGTTGCATGTACAATCTAATATTTAAGTATATTCATATATAAGTCAGTTAACCAATTTAAACAATAAAAAATTAGCACAAATTAATTGTATATGTTTCCATAGATATATCTAATAGTTAAATACTGTACATCACAAATATTCAATATGAATGGTTTAAATAAAACAAAAAAAATATATTTTATTAGTTAATGAAATATAAATATATTTTTTTTTATTAATTGTTGTTGAAGCACATATAACAAAAATGGATGAAATCATAAATTTTTTAAAAGAAGAAAATAATAATGATGAGGAAGATGATTTTTTTGGTTTTAAAGCATCAAAAAAGAGAGTTAAAGCTTTACAGGAAGAGAAAAAAGCTAAAGATATAGAAAGTAAAATATTTTATGCAGTAAATAGAGTATTTGTAAATCATGGAGATTCGTATCATGGAAAATATATAATACAAGTACAAGATATTCAATTGATTAAAATGATAACTTTAGCATAAATTATATAACCTTTTGTAGGAGTTAAATCAAACATCATTAGAAGAAATTGAGCTTTATAATGAAAATAATACATTGGATGAAGAGTTTAATGAACAAAATTCAATAAATAAAAATGTTCAGGAAATCAGAATTAAATCAAATCAATTCAGTAATTCAGAAAACTGTACTATAATTAAAACAAATTAAAAAACATTTGTTTGGTTTTTTACATTTTAATTGAAGGTTATAAAATAGAATCTGAAACTCAGGACTATACAAGAGAAAATAAACCTAAAGTAAAATTGTTGACATATGGAGTGAAATCTATTAATTATGATGTTATTACTACATTAAAAAATAAAAACATGAAGAATTTCAAAAATGTAAGGATAAATTTGTTTATTAAATAAATTATATGATTTATATAAATAAAAACAATCTAATGAGATTTAAATAAAATAAATAGATTATCAATATAGTTAGAAAATCATTATTCTTGTCATAACATTTTTATGTTAAATATAAGTTTATTTGTACTATTTTTAAGATAAGTTCTTATGGTTATTATAATTTGAAGATTTATTGTTCAATATAGAATAAGAAGTCAAATATAACAATAGTTAAATTTTCAGTAAAAAATGCCTACAATAAAACACAGGAAAGTATTTTAATGTTATACAATGTTTCATTTTAGTATGAATACCTGAAATCACTTAAAAAAGTAATTGTACCAAATAATAAGATTATGTTAATGAATGACATAAAAAAATGCTCAATAGTTGTATTTGATATATCAATAGATGATACTCAAATTTTTGAAGCAAAACAATCTATAAAAGGTAAATAAATTTTCAAAAAACAATAGTTATTATTTCTAAACTTCTTCATGATAAATAATAAATCACAAAAACTATGATGATTAAATCAGTTATGGTTTGAAGTAATGACCAATAAAAATTATTTCTATAATAAAATAAAAAGTAAATCTGACTTACATTTTTTTTTATAATAAAAAAAAGAATTAAGAAATAAAAAATAAGCATGGGTTGGTAATAAATTGTGACCAACTCTAAGATGATAAAATTTCTATTAAGAATTAAATTATGGAACCAGGAAATATTGATCATATTTTATAATGGTGTATAATGGTACAAACTTTTCTGTATCACTTGAAGTAGATTAAGATAAAGCAGACCATATACTTTGCTAAGCACTCAATAAAAGATTATGAAAAAACAGAGAAAGTTTTCAAAATAAATAGACTTAATTTATGGTAGTAACAAAATAGAATACGAAGGGTCAAGGAGGTCTGCTATTTCATTGGCCAAAATACTTACATAACTAGAAATCAAATGAAAAAGAATCGATTTTCCAACTGAATCTTTTTTATTCTTTTTAAATAATAGGAGAAAATTTGACTGAGAAAGAAATTGTAGAGCTAAAAGATATTATTGGAAAACAAAATAATAATAATAATATACTGAATCTCCAAATACTGAACTGTCAGCGTAAATTAAACATATGAGAAAAAAATATTATTAACATATATTTTTGGTAGAGACCTAATGTTATCAAGTGAAAAGTTTATAAAAGTTGAATAATATAGATTGATGGAATCAATATAAGTAAATAAACAGTTCAAACATATAAGGAAGTCTCGTATAAAATTTATAAATAAATGGAGAGATAGAAGAAAGAGAGAAACAAATGGAATCAAGAATAGAATGTGATTTTGGAACATAACACTTCATTGAATTGATGATAGAAAAAAAAATGATTGAAGGGATGATAATGCTTTTAATGAAAATTTAAATGCCTAATGTTGGAGGAAAATTTTAAATTAAACAATTATTAAAAAACAACTTGACTTTCTAGTTCTATTGCAAGTATAAAATATAACCTGTCCAGAATCACTAATACTTTTTAAAAATGTTTAGGGTGATTAGATATAGTTCTAGATTTCTTTTTGTCTCCTTTTCAATAAATATGATTTTTTTATCTCAGAGACAAAGAAAAAATATTAAGTTAAGCTCTACTGAAGAAATTAAAAAATAATTATCTCATAAAGAATTTTAGAATGTTTTAGATATAATAACGTTAAAAAAATATCATATACTTTTTTGTTAATGTAATCCAATGGGTAGCCACATTATTAGATACAATTTAAGAATACCATATAAGATGATACATTTATCTTTGAGCACTTGATCTTTCTTAAAATAATAATATTAAAAACATTTGGTGGCTTAATTTTAAATTAAGTAATAACTTTTTTGGAAATTATAAATGTTGTCATAAATAGATTATGTATCTATTTATATGAACCTAAAGATATAATTCACAAATTAAGAATTATATGCAATTAAAAAAACCCAGCACAGGGGGTTCGCGGCACAGTGGTGACATGGCATAATTGAATCAAGTATAATGATATCTGACAGTGATTAAAATCACTATAAAAAAAAAACGCTTCGATTCAAATCTTTATATAGTGTTTAATTTTAAAAAATTGGTGTATTATTCCAAAAGCTACATGATCTGCTAGTTCCTTATTAATATCCTGATTAAGATAAAGTATGTCGAATGAAAAAGGGATTATTAAAAAATATTATTTCTCATAATAAAATTGTGTTGATCCATACACTTTTCAATGTTATAGCATTATAAAGTTAAAAATGTCAAAAATAAAATCAAGAATTTTCATACAAAAATAGTATTTGGTAGCCATTTTCACCACAAAGACAAGTCCAGAGGTCAAATTTTTTTTATCCATAATAAAGTACATTACATTAGCTTTAATTTAAGATATATATAAAAGTGTCAGACATTCCGGAACATTTTCAAAAGTTAAGTTGAAAAAGTTGTAATTTTAAATCCCCCCCTGTGGGCAGGTTAAGTGTCAGATTTACAAAAAAAATATACCAAATGATAAGTAAAGACATCAAGCATTTATAAAAAAAAAAATTATATTGATATGTTCATTTTTGATAAAGTTAACAGCAGTTTTTAGTAAAAAAAATTTCGAAAATTTCGAAAATTAGCGAATTTTAAATTTGTAATTTTTTTGGAGGTTTCCCCCATTTACGGGGAACGAGGGAAATTTTTTCAATTTTTGAGAGTAATGTCTTCGACTAGATATGATTTGTGATCTATTGACGTATCGTTAAAAGAAATCCGTTTGGTAGGAGCTGAGAAAAAGTGGTAACTGACAAAAAAAAAAAA